TCCCTCTGATGTCCTTTCATACTTGATGTAGTAAAAGGCTGGCGAGCTATAGACTCGTAATACGCACAAGCTGTTTATAAATGTTCAACAAGATGCAAAAAAAAATGAGTTTGCAGTACCAAACAATGACATAAGACTTTGACCATCACCCTTGATAGTCTTTAGCACTATGGTCACTATTCTTACCCTAAAGTTTGTAAAGTGGAGCGGACGTCCTCCCAGCTCGAGGTCTCTGCAGCTGCTTTGTGTAATCTGTGACACCGTCCAGAACAGAATGGCTGTTATAGCGATCGGTCTCCACTGTCGCTGACAATACCTCAGTCACAAAGTGGACTTTTGTCCAGATAACCCAGCGTTATATCCTCCTGAAGTGGTCACGAAGCACTACACTGATAATCACATTGTTACTCCCCTACTTACTCCAATGTTCCCAGATGACTGTATACCAGTACGCAATGCATTTAGACACGTGCGTGCATCACACCAGTCAATGTATGAATATGCGGTATGACCATATGAAGACAGACATATGTTTATCTTATCAAAGTAATGTAATCACTTAGCTGAAATGTATGACCTACTGTTAGTGTATTTCTTGATAATAGGCAAATAATTCGCCTCCTTCCCGACCAAAGTCCTGCTCTTATATCATGTCTAGAAAACGTAATTGTTATATAGGTATATTTTTCTCAGTTGACGACTTGCTTATATAGAACCATGGAAGGCATAAAGATGTGTGTGATATGATGGCTGTAATATTGTGTTAGAACCATGTTTTTTTTGTAGCGACTGTTTAAGCCACAAATCGACTCGGCACTGACGGAACCAGGGTTACCAGATGTCAAAACCTGTACCCGGATCCCCGCCTATGACGACACGCCCTGCCTCTTATACAAGATGCCGTATGCATCGTCGTCGGTCATTTAAAATTGAATTTACAAAATGGCCGACCCTTCACAAAGATTTATGTATCTTGAAATAAGGTCACACACAATGGCAGAGCCAAAAATATATCCTGTTGACAAGACTTAAATGCCTGCTGACATAAATAATGCATGATTATCTATCAGGCTGTGTAAATGAACACAGCATGATTATATATTATATTGCGGACATCACAGACACATGATTATTCACCAAGCCACTGACATCATAATAATAGACTATAAATGTCCACCCTTGCCGAACAAGACTTGCAGTTAGATCCGATATTTGTCGTAGATCTCCTAAAGCCAAGAGATGCAACAGCAAAGGCCAAACTGACTCTATTTCTGAGAGATAGACAGCTACTCGAACGTATATTAGTAGAGCAGCCAAAAATAAAAAAATGAAATTACATCAAAATACGAAAATAGAAACCATATCACTACAAAAACAGAAATTCTGTGAATACCATATCACAGTAGATACGTGTACCCTGCTCACACACATGAGTCCCAAAAAGGGACTGGTCAGCCGAAATTGCAAAGGCAGAAGGCGACCTCTTAAACACTTAAAGCAACAACAACAACGAACTAGGCAGGCAATTCCGAATTCGTCTGCTTCGGCTGGACTAACGAGTCTATGCATAGTCCAATCAAAATCGCCAAACGGAATCGACATCCGGTTCGTAAACAACGTTAACGCGGCAGATTTCAGTCGATTGAAGGATTTGCATAGAATGTGTACCATCAACTGGGCGTCATCAGATATTTTCAAAATCATTTAATATTTTTTATCAATGTACTCAAGTGATCTGATGCACTTCGCGAGGTTTTATTACGATATAGCTCTTAATTATCGATCTTGACTCGGAGCCACCATTTATTTTGTCTCAAGCAAATGCAAGTGATGTGAGAGGTTGAATCTGATTGGTCAGTAGGAGGGACATAAAAGGGTGGTAAGCGGACTTTTATAGTCAATTAACTCCCTTGCCTCGGGAAGAGGCGGCTGGTGCGAATAGCCATCATACTGTTAATATCACTGTTACATGACTATCTCTCAGACAGCTGAGTCCACTGATAAACAATTATCGCGTAGATGCTGACGTCACTGAGATTACATTGGGCTGCATTCGTGACCAAGCCAAATAGCTACTCGTTCTCATGTCGTGGTTGTTGTTATGACTGGGTTCCGTCTAAGCGCACCGGACATAGATGAAGATGTAATGATTTATGTATATCTCCCCCATATATCACGTATATCCCAGATGCTATTGAAAACACAGTGGGACTGACGGTATTATACAGTATTATTGAACACCGTAACCGTATCTTGGGTATATTTTAGATGCAAGACGTATGTAAAATAAAAACTTATTCACTGTTACCTGATTATCGATCGGGCTGCTGACGTTACTGTTATATGGTTATCCAATTGGCTGATGATGTCACTATGACATAATTATCCCTCGGGCTGATGACGCCACTGTTACGTGATTACCAATCGGGCTGCTGGTGTCCATAAAAAAGAGTACCGATTACGATTTCGATTCTGTTAATTGAGTCCTAAATAAAACTTATTTAGCAAATTGTTCTCAATAAAATGATGTCATTTTAGCTTGAATCACATATTGTCCAGTCTATCGTATGTGTTACTGTTTGAATTGCATGGGGTAATTTGCATATTGTCTCTGCAGGGTAGTTAAAGTAAAGACAACATATTTCATGGATGACAACTGATTTTATTCTATTATGATGCGACGTTTCCGTAGAGATCCTTATAACATTGTCCAGCAAGAGTGAAGTAAGATAGTACACTACAGGCTTATGTACGTTACAGTCAATGTTAAAAAATGACTGAAATTTTCTCTTAGGCAATTTAGCAAATGTCATTTAACTGCAACATATACATCTCGTAAGGAATAACAAAAACAATATCAGGGTATGCATGAAAGGAACTAACAACAACAATGGATAATGGTGGATTGATACAGCAACAACCATCTTCTCGAGGCAGGAAAGTTAACTGACAGTGGAGGTCCAGTTCCAGTTCCACCCTTGCAGAGCTGGGCCTGAATGTCTTGGTTCGATCGAAGTGGTTATAACGAGTTATGTTCCTTCTATGTCCCTCCTACTGACCAATCAGATTCCACCTCTCATATCACGTGCATTTGCTTCAAACAAAATGGCGGCCCCCAGTGAAGACAATCTGGTCGATAATCAAGATCGATGTTGTAATTAAACGGGTCTTTCTTCGCGAAGTTCATAAAATCTCGTGAGCATTTTGATTATAAACATGAAAAGATTTGGAACATAGTTGTTAACCCGAAGTTGTCGGTACCCATGCTTTGCAAATCCTGCAATAGACCGCAATTTGCACGGCAGTTTACGAACCGGATGTTGATTTCGTTACGCCATTTTGAGTAGACTGTGCATACAGTCTTCAGTCCAGCCAAAATATAAAACTTCATAATTCCAGCCGAGTTCGGCAAGGGTGGATACTGGACTATTATAGACAGTTAACTCCCTTGTCACGGGAACTACAGTATAACCAACTGTACATGACGGGGTACAGATACACAGTGCTAATAGGGTTATTAATTGTTTTATCAATTCGTTGTTAAGATTGGATGAGGTGTCCTGGATCCCTGTTTATTGAGGCTTGTGTCACCTGACTTGAACTATTCTACTAGTTTTCGTTTGGTGACGTCATGGAGATTGTTTGATAGGATTTGTGGTTTATCCCACATGATATCATGATAAGAAAGGTTGATGATGTGGTTTGAGATGGCTGACTTTCGGTCTGACATAGTGGTAGATGTTTTATGTTATTTATTCTGACGTTTACGGGACGGGAAGTTTCACCTGCTTAGGCGTTACCGCAGTCAATTTATTTTGCAGACAATACCTGCAGGTTCTTGTTGTTGTGAAGGATTCCTGCTTCCAAACATGCCAATCAAACTGGATAGTGATACTTGACAACAAATTAATAAGTGAGAAATCAGATACTTATGCTGCTGAGAAACATCCCCCTGCCTCCCGAATGAACAAGAAAGTTTCTGGCTGAAAAGGCTTGAAGTAGGAAAAGTAAGTTCACGGGGGAGGCAGGACAGTGGAGTGCGTTCGGGCGCCTGGTTTCAATTCTGTGTTAAAGATTCGGAACAAAGTAGGAAATTGCACATTGTGTCAGCAGGATAAGTATCTAATATCATTAATATTAGATTGTCGAACATGTTTGTGTACCAGTGATTGATATTATGAGCAAAGATCCTCTCCATCAGGGTATGATGACATACAATCAACCAAGTCACCGAGTCTGACTTAATTGAGTCGTCTCTTACGACCAACATAGGGTGCTGGGGACCTATAATTAGTTATTCTGACTCAGAATCGGAATTATTAGAAACAGATTGGCAATTCTCTGGTACAACATATAGCCATATACGGATATTTACATTCAATTACAGCATGAAAGGGTGTAAATGTTCTTCTGATGATATAAAATATATTTAAAATGTAAAAACATGTTTATGTTCCAAGTAATAGCAGATGTTTACTGGTCTGTCCCGATTTACATTGTCCTCGTCACATCCTGGTGTGAGGACAGGTGGCCCTGTCATCCGAGGCGCCGTCATTCGCTGGGCCGAGTTGTGTTCCTTTAGGCGTATCGGAGACCTTTGATCCATGGTTCGAATCTTGCTATGTGTCTTAGTTTGTCAACACCATACTCGCGCTCATGGATTTAACCAGTGTGGTAAAATTCTAAGGCCTGCATTAGTTCGGTCTTTCTATTACATCAAACTGACTTTAATACTTTTCAAAGCCGCGTTAAACCAAATCACTCACATACTCCTGGTGTATCTGTGTAGAGTAGCGTGTTTAAGTAGTTGATCCAGCCGATGGAATAACAATTAACATTTCAGTTGCCGATAAAGCAAATAACATGTTTTGTGTTTTTTGAAAAAAAAATTTCAGACAGAATAGGGATTCGGACAAAACTTCACATGTAATTCCCTACATCCAGCATCCCATACGAACAACTGGTTTTGTTTCTAAAACATGAGACAGTTTGGTTTCGGTAAATACTCAATAACATTTTATTAGCAACCAAAGTTATTCGGGCGTACATTTGAGAGCCCTGGCGAGAATAGTAGCAAACCCTTTTGGGCCAAGGATGCATTTAACGGTGACTACTTGGTCATTAAGGCTGAACCAGAAGGTGACCACCTCACTGGGAGCACCGGTTATGCGGATACTGACATCAGTGTCCATTCTGATCCACACAACTCTCTGTGGAGACATCGGTACCCACTTGTCCAGTTCGCCCAGGACGACCACAACCGTGCTGGAAATATGATATGAACCACTTCTATTACACGTGTTATTCATGACAGGTATCGTGCACTCAACAACGCCGGGCAGCCAACACTCATCAGCACTGGACATCCAACACTCATCAGCACTGGACATCCAACACTCATCAGCACTGGACATCCAACACTCAACAACACTGGACATCCAACACTCAACAACACTGGGCATCCAACACGCACCAGCACTGGACATCCAACACTCAACAACACTGGGCATCAAGCACGCACCAACACTGGGCATCCAACACTCAACAACACTGGACATCCAACACTCAACAACACTAGACATCCAACGCTCAACAACACTGGACATCCAACACTCATCAGCACTGGGCATCCAGCACGCACCAACACTGGGCATCCAACAGTCAACAACACTGGGCATCCAACACTCATCAAAACTGGGCATCCAACACTCATCAGCACTGGGCATCCAACACTCAACAACACTAGACATCCAACACTCAACAACACTGGACATCCAACACTCATCAGCACTGGGCATCCAGCACGCACCAACACTGGGCATCCAACAGTCAACAACACTGGGCATCCAACACTCATCAACACTGGGCATCCAACACTCATCAGCACTGGACATCCAACACTCATCAGCACTGGGCATCCAGCACGTACCAACACTGGGCATCCAACACTCAACAACACTGGGCATCCAGCACTCATCAGCACTGGGCATCCAGAATTACACAACACAGGGCATCCAACACTCAACAACACTGGGCATCCAACTATCAACAACACTGGACATCCAACACTCAACAACACTGGGCATCCAACACTCAACAACACTGGACATCCAACATTCATCAGCACTTGGCATCCAGAATTACACAACACAGGGCATCCAACACTCAACAATACTGGGCATCAAGCACGTATCAACACTGGGCATCCAACACTCAACAACACTGGGCATCCAGCACGCACCAACACTGGGCATCCAACACTCAACAACACTGGGCATCCAGCACGTACCAACACTGGGCATCCAACACTCAACAACACTGGGCATCCAACACTCAACAACACTGGGCATCAAACACTCAACAACACTGGACATCCAACACTCAACAACACTGGGCATCCAACACTCAACAACACTGGGCATCCAGCACGCACCAACACTGGGCATCCAGAATTACACAACACTCGGCATCCAACACTCATCAGCACTGGGCATCCAACACTCATCAGCACTGGACATCCAACACTCAACAACACTGGACATCCAACACTCATCAACACTGGACATCCAACACTCAACAACACAAACGTGATCACATGCTAACCTCCTATATATTAAAAGACCTCAAATCAATGCACCGCCAATATTGTACTACAGGATAAAATTCCTACAATACTGAATAAACATGTCTAATTTCCAAACACTTTTTTAATGAGATGCTTTATTCGACTTACTTGTCGCCCATGGCTATAGTAGGCGAGGTGTAGTACAGACAGTAGGCAACTGTTGAGCAGCCAGACAGAACCAGGGGGGTGTCATCAGTGAATATATCGATGCTGCTTGTACTGCTGTGTGAAAACACTCTGCTGGTCGGAAACTGCAGAAAAGTATATCATTATTTAACAAAAAATTATTATTTACTTTTTCAGTATTACTGTCTCAAGATACTTTAAGAGTTAGAATGTAGTTGTGTATCAACGGCAAATGTTTATTACCTGAAGTTTACCAGTTATCAGTTAATGTGAATCAGCTGTCGTGGCCAATTTACCTGTAGCTGTGTTACCAGCAATTGGCAATTCCTTGTACTGGATCATCTTATGCAGTTGTGTATCAACCGTATTTGTGTATCACCTGTAGTTAATACATGTAGATGGGCATTACCTTTGGTTGCGATTTACCTGTGGTAACTGTTGAAATCCTGCATCAGTTGGGGTTATCGTGTATCCTGCAAGGAGGTCGGCGGCCAGTATGATTCCAAATTTCCACATTCCACCAAAGTCAGAATATGTTGTGTACACTTCCCCGGATGGACCGTTGAAGTCAGCGCCAAACGCGAGCTGCAGTGTAAATATGAATACTACGCCCTCCCCATTTGTACCAGTAAATCATTACAACAGAGCCGTAGGAAATACGTTTTAGAGTCATGTACTTTTTATTACTGTCATCTATAAAACTTCTGGCGCATGAATACATAGCGTGGGAAGCCCTGTACATTGTCGTAGTAAGGTTTGGGGTATAATACTGATATATACGCTTCAAAAAAGTGAAACGCAATACTGATATTTTTGGCCATAAAAGCAAAATTAGCGGACCAAGGGGTGCAAAATGAAGAGATTCATATTATTTTAGTGTCTGTGACAAATTTCCCGGATCAAAATGATCACAACAAAGACACGCAAACCATTAGTCGGGAAACACCTACGATTCGGAAAAACGCGTGTGACAGTGACAGTATCCAATATAGAAATACTGAAATCTGTTTCTTATACAGTGGCGAAGCAACATATACGCAAAACAACAGTTGTTTTTCATTGTCTTTCGCGGCAATCCATCAGTCTGTCCAGTAGAGTAACTGCCCTTTGTCAAAGGGAAGCTACTCTAACCCTAGTCTATGAGACGTCACGGCCACGGTCAGACGTTGTGGACAGTCGGTCTGTCCTGTCATAACGTTAAGAAGTGTAGTCAGATGTATACACAGCGACAAAACGAAACAAAGGTAACGATTCAAACATATTTCGGCCAAATCCAACTATTTTTATTTGTGGAGAAGGTTTCAAGCTGCAGATATGGCTACTGATCCCGCTTGACTAGGCCTCGTGCCCTCGCAAAATTGTTTCGAAATTTATATCTCCAAAGTTGCCAAAACTTATAAAATGCCTTAGCTACGTCACAGTTAGACACTGATTTTCAGTATATTAGACTGTTCTTTTGATAATGATAGCAATTATCTCTGTAGTTTATCCTGATTCCCGATGGTTAATTATGACTCGATCGCCGAATGACGAGGGCGCCGCCATGTTTGTTTATAAACAGTGAAAGTAGTCCTACTTGACCTTTGATATTTGCATCTCTATCCGCATATGACCCAAACGGATATCGTTTTGATCCGTTGGCTTTATCCTGCCGAGAAACCTATCCATTGTATGATAAAAGTATCTATTAGTCCTAGCTTGTAGTCTATTCAGTATATTGCAAAGTCTATATGTCCAACAAACAACAGAAATGTGTGATTGTGCCCGAGACTTACGTTCAGTGAGCACAGATCTTTACTGTTAGCGAGACGCCTATAACTAGTGTCTATGACATCATCATCTATTGTTTTCGACAGTGTGTTGACATGACGTCATCGCAAACAAAAGTGTGGGAGACAATCAGCACAAAGCAAACATTATCATGCTCTTCAGAATTTCTGAAAATGGATTTGGACGATATTCTCGCTCCTATATATAGAAGATAACTGATGCTGGTTCGTGGGTTACCCTTCGTATTTGGTTGTCTATGGCTGTGGCAGGCTTGGATGGTTTCAGTATCTTCCCGTCGGCATTGACACTCCTGCAAAACAACAAAATGGTACAGGCATCACACCCTTTGATTAACAAAAAATATACGACAAAACCTTTTCCATCATAAAAGATATGAAACGTCAATCCCAAAGAATAGCCAATGCCGGTTGTCCAACGAAACAGATTCCATTCGGCGTGAAGGGCAATTGTACGATTCGGACTACATCACAGGCATGTGTTCATGAATCTCTACCAAATAGTGATGATACCAGGTGGTCGCGAAAAGGTCAGCTTATCATAACCCGCAGGTGGCACTGTCAAAAACACATGGAAAGGCATGTTCACCTAAAAAAACATGGTAATTGCTTTGGACATCATTTTTATCACTGATACGCTAATTGGGAAATGACCGCCACGTGTCTACCATAGGAGGTCTGTACAACTTTACTAAGGCCTTGAGACCGTCTCCGTGGTCTAGTGGTAGAGCGTCCGCCCGGAGAGCGGAAGGTCCGGGGTTCGATCCCCGACCGCGACCACCAAAAGACGTTAAAAGATGGTACTTGTCTGGCGCTCGGCATTAAGGGGCAAAAACAAGGACTGGTCGGCTCAGAGTCAGTATACTGTGTCTGAGTGGGGTATTCATGTTAAAACTGCGGCATGGTATATCAGTGTGGTAGAACTATAAATCGGCATCAGTCCGGACTAGTACAAGCAGCTACACAAACACACACACGTACATGCACGTCGCTATATAAGTGCAATAATCTTGGACGCGACGTTAAACCCCATTTCACCTCACCTTACTAAGGCCTTGAATGTTGAAACTCTGATCACCATTTTGGAGCAAGAATGGTATTAAAAACAAAATCGTATTGCAACGCAAACCTTGCCTTTTGTTATTTAGGTGGGTGCCATTAATTTAATTCCAACATTGACGAGTGTTACTGTGATCCAGTTTCATATACTAATGTATGATATTGGGAAATTTTAGAAGCACATAATTGACACTTCTTTTTTCTTTGAAGTTGTAAGTGTACAATTAATAAACATATTGATGAATATTAATATACATAGAAAGAAACATATTCATTCTAAAGGCATTAATGCAGAGCTTTCTCATCAAGCAAAGCGTTTTTTAATCATATTGGACTTTCAGTGCAGTATCAATATTACATTGTGAACTAACACAGTCTTAACACAAAAGGTTACACGTGCATATAGACTGCCGGACAAAAGAAAGTGTACTCCCATGTTTCATGGTGACTTAAATGAAACAAACAAGAAATGGTTATTCGATATTGATGTACGGGTATCAAAGTGTGATTTAAACCTTCAAGCTATCGTGTTTCGGCAGTTTTCTGCCCAGTAACGTTATAATAACGTTTGTAATCTTAATCTTGCATCGCAACCAGAGGTGGACACACACGCTATTGATTTGTAAATTGACATTTTGGCATGTTCATGTTTTTTATGAAATCACGCATTTTCTAAAGTCAGTATGGCAAATTAAACCATTTGAACACTTACAGGAGTCTTTTATCTGTTGCAAACCGAAATTGTTTCAGATTTGGTAAAAATCTTTGCATTAAATTTTATTCAATGTCACAAGAACCTTTGTTGTTCAGTATATATACTTTCTTTGGCCCGCCAGTTAACACTGAACACAAAGTGTACACCACAGAACGAAGACCACATTTGGTGAGACTGATGTCGAAGATGCAAGCATAGTAAATGCCATGAGACATCATGCTTAAATGATATAAAGTTTCGAACGTTGTCTGGTTCCCTCCCCGAGATGTTCTGGCTTCTGAGGGATGCAACCCAACTCAATTGCCTGACCAAAGATTTCAAGCTGCTGTGTTCTCGTCCAGTGAGAGGGGCGGTCGGGTAGCCTAGTGGTTAAAGCTCGTCACGCCGAAGACCCGGGTTCGATTCCCGACATGGGTACAATGTGTGGAGCCCATTTCTGGTGTCCCCCGCCCTGATATTGCTAGAATATTGCTAAAAAGCGGCGTAAAACCATACTCACTCACT